TTTACACAAAAACAATTTTGCCGCGTAACAACTAGCCCCGTCTCCTCATGTGCTTTAATCATACTTAAAAAAAAAAACATACAGTGGATCAAATCTTAACTCATTGTAAATGAAGTTTAAGATACTGCAAATTTACATTGTAGAATATATACATTTCCACACTAATGAACCATTCAGAGCACGCACATCACATGGATCACCACCATCATTGTCTTTGCGTAAAAGCGCACGCCATCCAATCCATAGACACCCGGCTCTATAAAAACGCAGCGAGCTGTCAGTGCGCGTGAAGCTACGAACAGACAACATAATTATCCGATAAACATCACTAAAATGCGGTTAAATATCCCCTCTAAGATCGATTTATTTACATCGATTTTGGATCCCCGTGAACTTAAATATCGCCGTTGTTATGTGTGCGCAAAAATGTTGACTACGGAAAACTACAAGACAGTGGAGAGAGGAGAAGTTGGAATGGTAAAATTCAGCGATGAGTAATTTGAACATGATGGAAGAAGTACACCGAACAACAGCAATGCAGAAGACTCCGGAGATGCAAGACGAGCGCACAGAGTACACGTCTGGAAGTCTCCTGTTAAGTGAATACAACGCGAGCTTCATGGTGAACAGGACTAATCTTTCGTGGAGTGACTTTCAGGATCTCGCCGATTTGGATAAACCCGACTATATGGGAGATGGATCTGCGGTCCTAAGAATAATGATCTCTGTCATTTACTCGGTTGTGTGCGCTCTGGGTTTAATCGGAAACATCCTTGTCCTCTATCTCATGAAATCAAAACAAGCATGGAAAAAGTCTTGCATCAACCTCTTTGTGACCAGTTTGGCGGTCACAGACTTTCAGTTTGTTTTGACGCTTCCTTTTTGGGCTGTGGAGAACGCCATGGATTTCACTTGGCTTTTTGGGAAGGCTATGTGTAAGATAGTGTCTTATGTCACGGCTACGAACATGTACGCCAGCGTGTTTTTCCTCACGGCTATGAGCGTCGCGAGATACTGCTCCGTGGCTTCGGCGTTAAAAAGCAGGAGGCGCCGGTTGCGTTTCTCCGCGCAATGGATGACTATCATCATCTGGATAGCCGCGGTCGGTGCCGCTCTGCCAAACGCCATATTTTCAACGACCGCCACGGTATCCAACGAGGAACTGTGTCTGGTGAAATTTCCCGACAGGAGCGGAGAAGCGCAATTTTGGCTAGGTTTATACCACGCGCAAAAAGTACTTCTGGGGTTCCTCATTCCGCTCGGAATAATCACGATCTGTTACCTACTCCTCTTACGCTTCATAACTAACAAAAATGTGAACACCTCCAGCGCTAAGAGGCGATCCAAAGTGACCAAATCTGTGACTATTGTCGTTTTGTCTTTTTTCCTGTGCTGGCTGCCGAATCAGGCGTTAACCGCGTGGGGTATCTTAATAAAACTCAATGTAGTGCATTTCAGTTACGCGTATTACACCACACAGGTGTATATCTTTCCAGTCACAGTCTGTTTGGCACATTCAAACAGCTGTCTCAATCCTATTCTGTACTGTTTGATGAGAAGGGAATTCAGAAAGGCGTTGAAAAAACTGTTTTGGCAAATTACATCACCTTCTGTGACGAACATGAGACCGTTTACCGCCTCCACAAAGCCCGAGCAGGATGAACACGGTCCCGCGCTGGTTCCTCGCAGTCCCGCGGAGCCCGCGCTTATTTTCTACCCACCGGGAACGGTCATCTACAACGGCAGAAACGACCTTCTGCCTAACAGCACATAAGGAAAAGTTATGTTGAGTAAGTTTTTATACTAAAACAAAATGGTAAATAAGTTCATTAATTAGCTCGTAGTTATACCATTGTTTTTGGCTGCATTACTTCCTGAACTTAAGCCAGCTCCTTGTTTGCCATTGACAGGATTAATTCAGATTAATCCAAACTTGATTAATTCAGGTGTGTCTGATTATTGTTGCCGTGACTACTGAGGCCAGGTACACCTTGCATAAGTTCCGCATTTGACGCAAGGATGCTCGTCAGTTTCCGGTTGGGGAGATTAAAGCGGAGAAAAACCGAGGAAAACGGGATTATGGCAGTCTTCAAAAAAAGTTATGTTTATTTAATATAATTTAAAAAAAATAAGCATAAACACAATGAGGGGTGTCTGTTTTGTCTGTTTTTGTGATTAACGTTTCTTTAGTATAACCATGGAGTATACAATTCAATATAAATTCTCGGTATTGCATTGGACTCTACGAACGGCGGAAGTTATTGAGCATCCTTAGACCTTCACCAGAAATACCGCCGTGCGCCAATTAATCAATTTGTCCAATAATGGCAGAAAGGAAACAAGGAGCTGGCTGAAGTTCAGGAAGTAGGCATCTTTTAGAACTGGAGGGGAGCCTCCTCCATTCAAAATGTTCCTTAAAGATGCAGTCTGTAGCTTTTGGGGGTTAAAAATGATCCAAAATACATATTTGAGAAAATACATAACCAGCCAGTGTTCAAAATTATCTGCTTGCCTTAGCTCGATTCAAAGCAGTTAGCTTGAAATAATGTTTTTTGTTTTGTTTTGTTTTTATTCCAGTGGTAGCTACTGGTGGATTTCCGCGGGAGATTCGAGCATGTCTTTGCGTCATTACGTCACATCTGTACTTAACACATAAAGGAGTCTCGGCTAGTCGGCTATATTGCATGTGAGGATGCTGGAGGTGGATATTTTTAGCCTTTTCTCACAACACTTGATATAATAAAATGTATCAATTTGATGGCGTATCCTGAATGGTTCAAACGACAATCACTAGTAGTGACAACAGATTCACCCGCTGTAAAATGCAAAAAAAAACTTTGTTCAGACATCGGAGTAGCTACAGAAAAAGAGAGACTGCAACCGGATCCATGCCAAAACATGTATACATATCGGAAGGACATTACATGTAATCACGCAATGCTGACTTTGTTAACATTAACAAATTGAGACCAAAGTTTAATTTACATGGTTTTGCGTAATATGATAATTTATAAGCGGTTATTAGATTTAATCAGCACAATTTACTGCAATGTCAGAACCAGAACAAAAGTGGTTGCATCTTACTTGTTCAGATGAAATTTTTCCTGTGAAAATTTTTATGTTGGTTATTCTTCTAAAAAGAATAATCTGTGATTCTGAATGCAAGTATCCACACCGGCGGTGACTGACAGCCGCACAGCATAGTCTCCTCAAACACTGTGTTCATCCGCGCTGTGCTGTGTCGAGGGTGTTAAAATACAACTTACGGAAAGTTAAAAATTCCGCGAATGACTGCAATTGCAGATTTCGAACAGAGATGGCGAAAAAGAGGAAAAACGCCAGACTGCAGCTTTAATTACATACTCTAAATCCAATCCGAGATTTATTTCACACTCCCTTCTATTGAGAGAAGATAAACCCTTTCCTGGCTGTTCAACTTCCTCTTGGCACTGCTGACAGATTTATTCTGGAACTGTGAAAACAATAAACAATCAAGTTAGAGAGCAAAACTGTTGTAGCCTATAAAGAATTGTACTTTAGTCTATACAGAGCACATATCTGGATCCATATACTTAATCTATCACTTGGTTACAAAGAAATATGTATTTGCATAGTTTTTCACCATGAATGTGTCAACAATATCCGATTTATATTTACCTAACAGTATGGCACAATATGTACTTTTGGACAACAAGAAAAGCCATTACCCTGCTGATAAACATCTTGCATCCAGTAATGTGTGGAGTTCGCTGGTAAGAAAAAAAAATCCTTAGAACAAACATCCATAACCAGCCATTATACTAGCCTGACCAGGTTAGAAGACTGCTGAGACCAGTTAATCTTAAACGTGTGGATGTATTTTTGCAGAGTAAAAATCCAGTGAATACTGTGTTATCGTTATAATTGTGACTGTGTAAATCTGGTCAGTTTTTTGCATTTGATTTTATTAAAACAAAATTACACCACATGCATAAAGATGTTTGGCCTAATTAAATCTATATAAAAAGGCATGTAATAATTACAATCTGAAACAGTTTACATCTCAGGTACAACTCAATCACCAAAATAAAGTCAATTGGTAATCTCAAATGTTAGTATTTCTTGAATAAGTTATTGTTTTGCATAAAAAGTGAATATTTATTGGGGTTTGACAATGGACAGGATAATGCTGATTGTTTTTTTTAAGGTGAAAACATTTCACCTTAAACGAATAATGAAATTGCATAAAAATGCCCGTTCTCATCCCAAGACGTCATCTAACTGACGCTTTTGACCATACGTCAACATCCGACGTTTTAGCGCCCTTTAACGTCAGTTAGATGACATAACGCATTCTCATCCCAAAGCGCCATATACAACGCTTTTGCAAAAGCGTAAATATCCAACGCACATGGCACCCTTAAACGTCTAATGAGACGCTTCGGTTATGGTTAAGTTTAGGTATGGTGTAGGGTAAGGGTTAGACCACTAGGGGGCGCCTTCTGCCCAAATATATCTGCGTCTCATTTGACGTTAAAGGGTGCCATGTGCGTTGGATATTTACGCTTTTGCAAAAGCGTCCTATATGGCGCTTTGGGATGAGAACGGGCTCGATGACGCTATCTAATCTTAACCCTACCCCAGACCAAAACCTACCTGACGCTAAAGGTAAAGCGTCGGTTGAATGACGCCCTAGGATCGTCATCTAACTGACGTTAAAGGGTACCCTAAAACGTTGAATGTTGACATATGGTCAAAAGCGTCAGTTAAATGACGTCTTGGGATGAGAACGTGTTGCATTAAACATAAAACATACATTTTCAGTTTTGTCAACTATTATTTGAATCTAATCTTTCTTTCAACTTCACTGATGAAGGCTGTTATTTGAAAGTGTGGCATGTAAATTGGAATGCAAAAAAAGAGACATGACGAGTCTGCCTATAAATGCACACAAAAAAATCTACCCTTTTAGTTTCTTTTTCCTGCTCGTTCTCAGTGAATAGAGGAGACGGACAATGAAGTAGAGAAAGGTTATTTATTTGAGGCTTACATCACATGAAGAGTGCAATAAAGAGGCAGCCAATTAGGGATACTGTTGAGGCAGAGAGCACCACCACAATCACACTTCCTGCTAGATTGACCAGGGCTCCCAGTCCAGCTCCCACTATGACCTGAGCCAGCTGCACCATGCAGGTAAGAGCTGCGCAGTCCATGCCAGTCCCACGGCTCTCAAGAGCTGCTTCATCACTGCTCAATTTTCTTCGCTCCTATGACAAGAAAGAGGCTTTGCATGAGAGAAGAGATATAGTAAACAAAATATTACACGCAGACTTTAACGTCTATATAGCATTCCAAAAAACCTTGAAGATCATCTGAAGATCTGAAGTCATTTCTAATGAGCAGAACACTGTGGATCTACAGATCAGGACGCCTTGAGAAAGGCAAGCATGCTCATGCACAAGAAATCGAGCTCTGTGCACAAACACATCACAATGAGAGCAATTCAAGAGCAAGTAATAGCCAAGAAACAAAATCAAAGTTGCGTTTTAGCAGGATTTAATCAATTTCTTGATTATAATTCAGTCTGAGTTCCAGGAAGGGATTTCAATTTGTGATTAAAGTTTCCTCGTGACTTCATTAATGCATCAGGCATCCCAGGGATTTTAGATAGAGGCTAAACAAATCCATATTTGATTTGGAAAGTGAAAATCAATGTTTTAAACTGAGAACTCGATCTTGAATTGAGAAATGTTCTTGGTAAACAGCTCTCGTTTTTTAGATACAAAAAATAGTTTGTGTGCTAGCAGATCAAATCTGCCTTACATCAATATTTATTGAACAATGTTCTTATTGGTCAAATCACAGCATTTGTAAATAAGTACTGGGCATTTGTCCAGGGCAAGGCTGTATAACTCCCTGCTCATCTTATATTTAATCCAATAAAACAATTTCTATTTAAATTAATATTCAATATCAATTAAGTCAACACAGTTTTATGCATTTACTTGTTTGTAACCATGTAATAAGGAGAATAATGTCCAGTAAGATGGTTTTTAAATCACAAAAAAAAACCACTCGAGGATGATAAATGACCTACCCTCTTCACATAAGTGTCCTGATTACAATCAAATTTATTTTGTGATAATGATTAGTCTTTGCATTCACGAAATTAAACAAAATAACGAATTGACTTTTTAATTAAAAGACACAGCCACAAATGTATTGCGATGTAAAATAACTATTGTCTAATTAAATATATTTTAAAATGTACAGTACTTTATTCCTGTAAAGGCAAAGCTTTTCAGCTGCCATTATTCCATTCTTCTGTCACATTTGATCCTTCAGAAATATTTTTCTGCTGATATGAAAAATTGGTCCATTTAGCAATTTAGCGGGTGACTTATGAATATGGTGTATATTATATTGTTATGGTGGAGAATATGCCTTTCTCTACTGATGTTCTAAGTTGTTCAAAGCGTTAAAGATACTGATTTTCGAAAGGCAGCTCTCCGACTCTGAGGTGGCGAACGGGAAGCCAGAATGAACTCTTTAGTGATGGTATACCCAGTGTTGTAGTACTCGAGACTCGGACTCGTCTCGGACTCGGTCTCGAGACCATATTTTAATGGTCTTGGTCTTGTCATGGACTCGTGTCCATTTGGACTCGGAATTGACTCGTACTCGAACATTTTTTTTTTTTAGGACTCGGAATTATTCCCGAGTCCACTCGAGTTCAATTAAAAATATTTTTCATGATTATTAATGTATATTAATAAAATATTTCTTTAAATTGATTGACATGCCCAGTGATTGGTGATTTTCTAGTGCGCAACTGCGCATGACAAATTGTAATAAAATTACTTTTAACACCACCTACTATGTGGCCTTTTTACCCTAAACCAGTGGTTCTCAGGGGTCCGCGAAATAATTTACAACCTAACGTTTTTTTCCATGCTATAAGTCATGTTTTCTTTATCATCTGAAAACATGCTGTTTATTCCTAAGTAACTTATATAAAGCATTTAACATAAAACAATACAAAGTAGACACTTAAAGTTTTCTATAGATAGATAATCTATGTCTTTGCGTCAAGTAGATTCGCTGCTGTTGATTTTGCGGGACGTGCGCCAGAAAGGAGACAGAGAGACGGCATGAACCCGCATCCGGTTCTTTTTTGTATTTTTAAAAGGCATGACATTTTGTAGTCATTTATAATGTAGCCTATACACAAATAAAAAATGGACACTTTACCGTTTCGGATGATGCACTCTTGTCTTATCTATGACCATAAATAAGAGTATTCCTGTTTCCACTGCTGAGGAAAAATTCCCATGTAATTGCGCGCCGGCGTCTCGCGTGCGCGCACAATAGTCAGTTCTAGCACTGCTACTGTAGATTTGACATTAGAAGTCTGATCATTATTAAAATAAAAGTGCATAGTGACAGGGCCGTACCCACAACTGAGGTTGCAAGGATGCACATCGCGATACTGACCTTCTCGTCTGAGGTGCTTCAGCAGACTAACAACGATAGCTCGTCAATGTCAAAATGTTTGAGTCGGAGTGAACTCAAAGTTCCCCGCACGACGTTTCAGTCAACGGTCATAAAGTGCGAGATAAGATGTAGGCCTTAATTAACATAAACTAAACAGCTGTTTTAGATAAAAGTTTTAAAAAACGTTTGCAAAGTATTAATCAAGCTCAACTTTAACAAAGGAAAAAGCAGGTCAATAGAAACATACTGTGCCCATGAGATTAACATTATGGATTCATATATTTAACATATACTGTATGTTTTTTTTAGCTAATTACAGTAGCTCAAATTAACGCACGCACCTATTAAACATAATGCCATTATCATTGTATTTATAGGCTTATGGGCTTTATTTGTGTGCAGAATAGGCCTAATTATTGAAATATTTCTCTTTTAAGGCCATTCCTGATTGGAATATGTGATTGTGTTTCGTGACATCTTGACAAAAAAAAAAAATGTATGCCACTGACTGACATGCTTCTACTAAATCTATAGTTATCCAATTGTGGGGCCTTAAAACACCTTAAAATGCACATGTGTAGATCAAGAACATCAAAAATTCCTAAGTGAGGGATCCTAAGTGATTCCTAGCAAGATCACTTTCGTTACTTCAGTAGGCTATTTAGAAATTCCTGCATAGTACCCTGGGTGGAGACCATTCATTTTGTGCAAAAATATTTCATTTGCCGCTCACACATTAACTTTGTGCTCAATAACTGTTATAAATATGAGGGGGGTCCTTGGAATTTTTTTTCCCCTGAAAGGGGTCCCTGGCACCAAAATGTTTGAGAACCCCTGCCCTAAACTGATCATATTTTTTAAACTCCAAGTAAATTCAGTAAAAAAAAAAAAAAAAGGATTTCTCTAAGTAAATAAAAGTAAATTAGGTAATCAACCCTCACTGGTCTCGGTCTCGACTCGGACTCGACTCTCTATGGACTCGGTCTTGACTCGGACTCGACTCTCTCTGGTCTCGGTGTCGACTTGGACTCGAGTGAGGTGGTCTCGACTGCAACACTGGGTATACCCTATATTACCTATATAACCCTATATTTGGTCTCACATTAAACTCAAGTGAACTGGGAGACATTTTTCAAACACTCCTGAACTGTTTGAAGCTATTAAAATGAAGTGGAACTCTTCTTCCTGTAAAAAGCTGTTAGCAAGTTGGACTATTCTGTGCTACATTACTTTATCTAATCTACAGCTTTGGTGCAATTCTTGCTAACTTCCTGAGCCGTGAGTTGTGATTAAAATGGTTAAGACCATTAAAATACCTCCAAATATTTTCCCACTTTTGGCTTAGCCCATTTTGTTTTGCCCATAGAGTGTATGAATTTATGAATTTATAAAACAGCTGATTTGTTCGTTTTTGACCCAATGTAACACTCTGAAACTGACCTCTTCCTCCTTGTGGTACTCTGAGATGAGGTTGAATGGGATGGTGTAAAGAGTGCTGGACATGACTCCAAACACACTGCACAGCGTCAGTGTGGCTACAATGTTTGGAAATAGGCCGATCAAGCCGGTTCCCAAACCAAACACAAAGTAGCCAAGGAAGTACAGTCCCTTCAGGCCAATATATGGCAGGAGCAGCCTCTGCACATCTGGATGGACACATGGAAATCATTTAAGGTGGCTGCAATAATGGCCTTTAAGATAAAACAAATGGTGAATTGGATGAATATAGCAGACACATTCACTGATCAGACTCATTCAAGTCACTGATACATTATAGTACTGATGTTTCCATTATAGTACTGATAAAGCCCTCTGAAATTGCCTTTTCAATAACATATGACTTCCATTATTAATTAGAATGAAAAGGATGTTGAAAGAGGCTCTCTCATTCGCTCAGAAAAAGTGTATTGTACAATTTCAACCCCAGACTGACTTGGTAGGCCAGTGTATTATGTGACTAAGTCAGTTGAGTTTGGTTTGATATTACTCACATGAATAAAGTGCAGAGGAGACGGCGTTGATGCACAGGCCCCAGCAGCCCACTTCAACCCCTCTCTCATACGTCACATAGGAGGTAGAATTGTGTTCAGCATATGGGTTCCCCTTATATACAATCTAAAGATGGATACACAGATAAAGAATGTGACATCATATCTTAGGAAATATATTATCCATTGGTCAAATGGGTTAAAAACACTTAAATGCAGAGGAGAACCTCTCCACAGGTGTCTCTTTTTCCATTAGAGTACTTAAGTGAACCAGCACATCACAAGGCTTTTTTTTCCATTTAGACATAATAATGGCAAATAAAAGGGACTCCTCAACATCCTCTGCTCTGCTGTGATCTGTGGGGGTAGTTCCTGTGAGAGTTATAATGCTGAGAAAATATACTTTTCCTTCAAACTCATTCAGGTGATAGATTTCATCTGGTTTCTTTTCTGACCATCACCTCTCAAAGATGGAGGCATTTTCTTAATTGTATCAAGCATTTTGTCACTGCTATCAGATCTAATCACATTAGTATACATCCTGTTAAGAATATGCCTATTCACTACATCAGCTGTCATTGCCCTGAACAGTTTCCACTTTGTTGAGGTCAACAGTACAACTTTCTTTACACTTCAGCCACCTACAAGGAGTTTTACTCATATATCTCAATTCAACACTGATAAACCTAGCCGTACTAAGGAAACTAAGAAAAAGAAACTGCTACCTTTTAACCACAATTCAAATCATCATTGATCTGTTTTTCAGTGTGGGATGCTACTCTTCCAGGAGTGCGGAATTAAAATCTAATGGCTTGGTAAATACATAAAGATGAATGTTGGAGACATGGGCGTAGAATACGTTTGTGAACATTATGAAACGTTAAACAATCCCACGTCTTTTTTTAAAATTCAAACTTAACTTGAAGACAATAAACACACAATCTTTATTACGTTACAGAAACTATAAAATATATTTTCTGCCTTATTCTATTCTAAAAATGTTACATTTTACATAAAATTCATGATGACTTCGGCCTAATGCACAAGTGTTTGTAGTACACAAACCAATCAAAAATTGTCATTAGGACTTATTTATTCCCTATTCCTTTTAATCCTGAAATTATTTAATTCCTTTATTATTTATTTATTTATTTATTAAGCAATAACCTCCCATCTGCCGGTAGGTGCCCGGCTAAGCACAAAAGTGAAACTCTGCCGTTTTGTGCTTGACTGAATTCAGTAGGTCAGGGATTTCATTCAAAGGCTAGACTGTAGTGCACTAACATTAGGAGTGTCAGCATATGTATTTGACGGCTGAACTGATCCCTCTCTTTAAAGATAGGGATGTGAAAAACTAAGCACGACTGAGAAAGTCAAATTCCATCAAAAAAAAAAAAAAAAAAAGCATCATTCCCTCACCTGCCCCATAAAGTCAGTGAAGAACAGCATGTTGCACAGGAAGGCTGTCCATCCCAACAGATGAGCCACACATAGACAGCGGTAATGGCTGGGCATGCTGATCATAGCTGACAGCAGAGATTTCAGGCTCAACCTCTTCTGTCCCTGAAACACAGTTATGTCAATAATTCAAAAGCTCAAAGAACTTCAACACTTACCAGACAACATTTAAGAAACATATCAAATTTATGCAGTACAAGGTTAGTCTCCGCACTTCATACTAGGATGAAAATATACTTTAAAATTGGCACACTTCAAAAGATAATCTTACAGTACCAATTATTTGACAACATGGGCTGAAGAGACCATTATATATGGTGTGACTTGCTCAAGACAATGTTATTAAGAATGTAATAAAGATTTCCATAACCACAAATGGTTGCTCATTAATGTGGTATCTCTAGACAAAAAAAAAAAAAAAAAAAAAAATTGATGCCAAAACCCAATTGCTGATGGAACAATTATATTGGTTGGCAATGGGGAGAAACAACAAAATAATTCCTCTTATGAACAAAGTTGTTGATTTGGTCTTGTAATGAATATGAAGACTGGAGGGCTAAAATCAGAAACTCATCACTATTTACATGAATGGAATACATTACAATTATTATTATGAATACACACGCACGTATATGTGTGTATATTTTAATATATTTAATTTACAGGACATTTTTAGGGATGGAACCTTCATGGCTTTTATTATCTCTAGAGCCAAAATGACATTTTGCACCCTCATGCATGAAATGCAACTGATGTCTTCCATAATTTCAATACAATTTCCCTAAGGTTATTCATCTCTGTGTTTCATTCAAGACATTTATCAGTGTTTTTATCAAGACATTTATCTGTCAGCCAGTGAAACAAGCCTCCCATCACTTCCATAGATAAACAAAAACTATATGTTCTAACATGTTGACCAAGAGCAGGGTTTGGTGGTACTTTTTCTCAGGGACAGATGGCAGATATGAGAGGTGTGTGGCAGGTTAATGATTGCAAGACTCTGACTGAGTTGGAGTCTAGACTGACATGATTAGTGAGATGTACAATTCCTTTTACCTTTGTGCCATTAACAATTTCATATGAACGTCACCCCTTTGGGGTCTGATGCGTTTTAAAAGTAAAGAGCTTTGCTGCTATGGGTATCAACTACAACAAAATATTTTTGACCCTATATTCTGATTATACAGACATATACCATTAGAAGCATACATTTAGGGGGTAAAGTGCATCATAGAATCCGGGGAAGCATTTTACAGAAAAAATAAGCATTGACGCTTCACTTGGTGTGACTCACTGCACTGGCATGACAAATTTCAGTCTAGGTTAAGTTTCACATGCAGAGGTTTTACAAAGAGCATGCCCAATTTTAATGATTCAGAAAGAACATTTTAATGATGATCTGAAACAGGATTTGATACTAATGATCATCCGAAACCTGTGGTCCAATAGCCAAAGAGACCAAACCAATATGTATAAAATAAACAAGAAATATACCGCACTATTTTAGATGGTTAATCAGTCTTCAAATTTTGCTGAAATTATTAGGCTGGAAATGTTTTTTTAATAACACAAATGCAATAAATCAGCATTGTCTTTTACTTGTATAAACATCATAGTGGTCTCAAGATTTTGGAACTCACCGTGTAATGAGACTCAGGTGTCTAAAATCCCTGCCATATTAAGCAACTATTTTAAATTTTAAACCTGAGACTGGTTTAACACTCAATGAACTAATAAAATATAGTGAGAAATTTGAAAAGGGTGTACCTTTTTTTCCACTGGGGAATCTTTGAACTTCACAATCAAGTCAAGTCACACATATGGCCATAATGAGTACAACAAATCACCACAAAGGCCTCTTAATGCACCATTATTTGTTGCATTTTTTGGATTTTCATTATTAAGCAAGGAACTGTTTCTGTGAGGAGCATGAACAATACACAACCTAATTACAGCTCACAAAGTCTGTTGCACTGTGGTCTGAAACAGGTCATTAAAATGTGAGGGGAAATTGGGTGCAGACTGAAGCCAAGAATAAAAGCCACTTGAAAAGGATTCAGAGTAACACAAATGACCAACCTCACTGTTAGGCTGCTTGGCACTGGGCGTTACTGCATTGGCTTCACTCAGGGCAGAGAACGAGCGCTGCCTCATTTCAGGCAGAGGTGGCAATTCTACGTGTACCGTGCCATAGCCATTATGATGTGGGCCTTCCGGGAGCAGTGAGGCAGTTGTACTTGTACTGTACTGGCAGTCTGAATCATGATCTTTAATTAATGGTTTCTCTGGGATGCTGAAAAGGTGCATGGTGAGAAAAATGCCCCAGGTAAGAGATGAGAAAAAGTAGATAACTTGGTACTCTGAACCCAGTGCAAATCCAAGAGCAGAGTGACCCCAGTCCATGGCTCCAATCAGGTATCCAAAGGCTCCACCTAGACCTGAAAGGATGCACAGCAGATTGCTTTGAAAAAAAGATAAATAGAATAATAATAATAATAATAATAATAATTCACACTTGATTTTCTGAGCAATAAAAGCTGTGTTTTTAATCGAGTCATTGGGTTTTTTTCTGGTGTGGCTGCCAGTAGTTCCTATGGGAGACAAGGTTGACTTAACATGGCTGTGCCATTTTAAAACAAAAATCTGAACCTGAGATGTTGTTTAGCTGGTGGCACATGCAAGGAAAACCATATGATAAAGACTAACTTTGAAATACCCTTATTTTAGAAATGTTTTCTAAATATCTGATTATACTGACAAAAAAAACATATTTACATATAAAAATACAATAAGCTGTAAACGTTTAAAGTGAGCATATTTTTCAAAATTAACCTCTTCCTTCTGCCAGGATTTTCTTTTAAAAGATACACTACCAAAGGTTACACTGGCTAATCAAATTTTGGGGGTCTCATGCTCACCAAGGCTGCATTTATTTGATCAAAAATATTATAAAAGAAATAAAAATTCTCATTAATGCAATTATCTAACCAACCAATCACATGGCAGTTTCTTCAATGCATTTAGGGGTGTGGTCCTGGTCAAAAATGCCTTAATGATGCTAGAGGTCAGAGGAGAATGGGCCGACTGATTCAAGCTGATAGAAGAGCAAATTTGACTGTAAATAACCATTCGTTACAACCGAGGTATGCAGCAAAGCATTTGTGAAGCCACAACACGCACAACCTTGAGGCGGATGGGCTACAACAGCAGAAGACCCCACTGGGTACCACTCATCTCCACTACAAATAGGAAAAAGAGGCTAAAATTTCCAAGAGATCACCAAAATTGGACAGTTGAAGACTGGAAAAATGTTGCCAGGTCTGTTGAGTCTCAATTTTTGTTGAGAAATTCAGATGGTAGAGTCAGAATTTGGCATAACCAAAATGAGAACATTGATCCATCATGCCTTGTTACCAGTGTGCAGGCTGGTGGTGGTGGTGTAATGGTGTGGGGGATATTTTCTTGGCACACTTTAGGCCCCTTGGTGCCCATTGGGCATCGTTTAAATGCCATGGCCTACCTGAACATTGTTTCTGACCATGTCCATCCATTTATGGCCACCATGTACCCATCCTCTGATGGCTACTTCCAGCAGGACAATGCACCATGTCACAAAGCTTGAATCATTTCAAATTGTTTTTTTGAACATGACAATGAGTTCACTGTACTAAAATGGCCCCCACAGTCACCAGATCTCAAACCAATAAAGCATCTTTGGGATGTGGTGGAACGAGAGCTTCATGCCCTGGATGTGCATCCCACAAATCTCCATCAACTGCAAGATGCTATCCTATCAATATGGGCCAACATTTCTAAAGAATGCTTTCAGCTCCTTGTTGAATCAATGCCACGTAGAATTAAGGCAATTCTGAAGGCGAAAGGGGGTCAAACACAGTATTAGTATGGTGTTCCTAATAATCCTTTAGGTGAGTCTATATTTATAATTGATATCAAAACATGATTTTTTTTTTTATTTTTTTTTTTTATAAATTAACATGAAATATTGAGTTATAGTCTGAGGGCAGGTGGTTTTAGTGATGATGAAATTACACAGCTTTGGTAAAATACAGAGAAAATCAGATTAAGTATTGCATATAAAAGAGCAAAGTTCAATTTTGTAATCAAAGTCATGTTACATTCAGTACATATTGTGTGCCATTTTGTCTCAAAAATCAGTAAAAACAGACCACAAAGAAAACACCCAGGGTTATGCGCAATTACAATTGCACACTTACACCCCTGAACCACAGAAACGAGCCAGTCATGTGGCTCTGAAGCTCTCAGCTCCAACCCATGATCTCAGCACATGACTGGCACTGTTTGGATTAGGATACCCTGAGTGCACACAGACCCCTCGGTGCCTGACCGACACAAGGCTTTACTATAACTGGATAACAGACCTCATGACGTTCTTACAAGCTATTTTTCTGTGATGATTTTAGTCTATAAGAACACATAACAGTACCTTGGTTATTAAAAAACTTTGTTTGATTCATTATTTAGTGTATACTACACTGTAAAAAAATTTGGAGTAGGATTTACTTGAAAAAACCTTGCTAAACGATCTCACTCAGAAAATGCTAGTAAATTTACAAAGATTTGCCAAGTAAAAACCTAAACATATTTATCAGTAGCTTTAATTAGAAATCTTTAAGTTAAATTTACTTGGAATGTGGAATTAAGTAAACTTTACAAAAAATCAGTAATTTTAACTCTGCTTGTAAAAGGTTGATTAATACCGATTTCCTTTGCCTTTGTTGTATTACACTTCACTAAAACAATTATCTTGAATTTTATTAGTCATTTATAATATGTTCTTTACTTAGATCATCTAAGTAATTTATATATACATCATGTCAGACTTTAAGCCTTATGTGAATGCAAACACCTCAATACTTGGTAGACAATACACAATGGTGGTAACATTTGATGGATCGTTTTTGTGTTTGAATGTGTCGTTTTAAGCAAATAAATTTACTCGAAATGTCACAAAATGGCAATTTACTAATACTGAAAACAAAAATCAATGATAAAACAGTGTAAATACAGCTGGAAACCAGTGAAAAATGAACCTCATTAATTATTCAAGGTCCAGTGCATGATGGGAACTCCAGTATCAGAAAAGTGGAGTAATTTTTAACTTAATTTTATTGAGTTGATATTACACTTTCATTTATACTCGCTTGAAATAAGTACTGATATGGAATTTACACTGTAAAAATGAATATGCTTATCTAATCAATAAAATTGTGGCAACAGATTACAAGCAATATTATTTATTAAATTTAACAAATTAGAATTGAGTAATAGTTAATCAAATTAATATTCTAATTAATTCTAATTTGTACAATTTAATTAATAATATTGCTTGTAATATGTTGCCACAATTTTATTGATTAGATAAAGCATATTATTTTTTTCAGTGTACTTAGTTTTTTAAATTCTTGCCTGAACTAACTTTTTCAAGTAAATTACATTGGGTTTTTTCACTAGTATTTACTTAAGCAAAAAATCATTTTTTACAGTGTACATTCCACACTTCCTAAAAATCAGTGAGTGAAAAGACACAGGTATCTTTAGTCTAGTAGATGCTCTTCACAGAAGACTGAAAACACACGTGTCTCAAGTAGCCGGACTAAATATGTCGTTTTCCTTTTTGTTTTCCAGATATTAAGATTTCAACCAGTAAAGAGCAGATTTTACTGAGAGTTTAGAAGACACAGGCAGTATTTCTTATGTCTTGTTGAGGCTTGCTGCCATACAGATGTTTAGTTACATCAGTATGGCACCAAATCACACACATCATGTTGCAGACGTTGAAAGAGGAAATAGACTGTTGCCATAGTGCCAGCTAATTTCACACAAGGGTCTGTTTTCAAAAACACTCCTATGGAAAATGCTGTCAGTCAGCTTCATATAACGATCTGTAAAGCATTCACGCTTAAAAATTTACTCATAGAGATCAAAATGGCATAAACCAAAAATATGTTTCAGATGCACGGTGGCCATTAAAAGTACTTGGAAATGTATGTATGCGCACACTTAATCTATGAATGCCATTGCAGTGGATGACATCTCATCTCAAAGTCAACCAACAAATAAACGCAGTAGTAGTCTTTCACAACATCACTATGATTCATAATGCTTCAGAACATGTCTATATCAACAGAAGAGCATGGTATATTGTGGTGTTCTTTATGTAATTGTAAGGGAACTTGACAACCATCTTTTAATGTGACATGTATTTATCTTGTGTTTAGAAGCTAGATCTGTTGCAGTTAAAGCAAGTCTTTGTCTGGCTAATTCAATGCACCTATCAATTAAGGTTAATGAGAGATTTTTTTTATCATAGAAAAATGTATTGTTACTCTTTACCTGTTAGTAAGGCATGATAATGAAGACCTCGCTCCTTATCCTTATGAGAACACACATCAAACAAATAGGCTTTAATGGGTCCGTCAATGAAGTCCGCAGCAAAGTCAAACATCACCACTCCAAACATAACCACCACGATGGCCCATGTCCTTTTAATATTTCTATTCTCTAGTATAGCTGGAGGAGAGAAACAACATCAAGCTTAGTTTCATCAAAAGCTCCTTATACATTCAATGGTAATAAATTGAATATGACTTTTTATAGATTTTAAAACTTAAGGCCAGGACATCAGTCAGAAGGCAAAAATGAGTTAATGCATAATCAAAAAATGATGACAATAATGAAATCAATTAAAAAATAACGGTTTCCAGTTTTGTTCTGTTTCTTATTCCTTTAATCTTTTGTAGTGTATCAATTAATGTAAAAATAAAAACGTGAATCAGTTTCAAATTTATCTAATTTCTGGATTGACAAATTTTGATTCACAAAAAAGCATTTGAAATAATTCGCAGTTCCTATATCTACTTCTCGTCTGTTCATTCTCATCTTTTTACATTCCAACCAAACAACCTATTTAACGGTTAAGGGAAAACAGATCAACTTTGCTTACTGTTTTTAAAATTACATTGCCACTTTGTCTGATATTACAAGTAGCTCCCGGTTTGATATTCTAGACAGATCCATCACGTTTACTTCAGCAACACCTACCTGATGTAACAGCATCTCCATTTAGAAATAAAGTCAGGCCCACTAACATCATAATCCCCAGTAAGAGTATGTACGGTCGCCTTCGGCCCCATGGCGACCTGCAGTAGTCGCTTGCCGAGCCAATGACAGGCTGTAGGATAAACCCCAAAATAGGGCTGATGAGCCACACCAGGCTGTACAGGCGTTTGGGAAGTCCCACACTCAGCAACACCGGCGTGACAAATGCCGCCTCAACAGCGTAGCAGAATTCCCTTCCGAACATGACCATGCCATGCATGATAAGCCTTCCTCTTGAGCGCTTGGGAGGCTCCACCACTCCAAACACAGCTGGTTCCATACTGTCCAAATAGTCCTCTTTCTGTCCCGAGTCCACCGGGTAGTGCTCAATTAATGTGAGCGGGCTGTCCGGTGCAGAGAACCTGCAAGGCTGGTCCTCGGTTAGGAGAGTCATGGATCTCGGTGTTGAAAATCTTAATTCCTACTGCATAGCTGAGCGATAAAGCTCAAGACTAGAATTCACAATGTGAGCTGAGCTGAGAAGAAAAGAAGGTGGCAGTTTGTCTGGGTTAATACAAGTAAGCCTTGCTTTCCCCCCCCCCCCCAGACTTTGTTGCCAAAGGCCACTGGTGGAGTCAGTTGTAAGCACGTGACAAAGTTAATGAGCTGTATATGGTCTTCTCTTCCTCCTGAGTCCTGGTTTACAAGAGGTGCAAGACAGAACCAACAAAACATAGTAAATGTAATTGCAAATGGCTATCAGATTAAGGGAACATTGGTGTTTGTGGAAATATAAAGGTTATGAAAAATGTAGTTTTAACAAGCATTTTTGTGTTCTTGTTGGGAATGCCCATTACGTAAATCAAGTGAAGTAAAATACCTTGTGATTCCTCTGCAGACGGCTTCAATGGGGTTGGAAAAACGTATTTAGTCAACGAGTAAAAGCTTACCACCCTACGCATGTTCCCTCTCCATTCACACGACTGACCTCTCTTGCTGACTGTCATGAGACATCCACAGAGTCTGTTCAACAATCATGTGAGCTTCTTACCCAAACATCATCCACTCTCTCTTGGACTTAATCTAGAGGTCTAGCTGTGGATCACAAGCAACCGGTGGAGCCACATGAATTAAAATGCCACATTCCACACATTTCTATGTGATGATAATCGCTTGAGTAGTTAGAACTTTTTTTTATATAACTCATTCCTCTGGATTACTAATAGGATTTACTTAATCTGTAAGATTTCAGTTTTTATTTTGAAAATACACAACCATTCAAAAGTTTTTTTTTTTTTTTTTTTAAGTAATCAATACTTAAAATAACTTACAATATTATATATTGAACAAGGATACATTAAATGGATCGAAAGTGAAAGTAAAGACTTTTAGAATTGTAAAAGACTGCCAATGTGTCAACAGTATTAATAACAATCAGAAAAGTTTTTGAAGCACTTCAATCCCCATATTAGAATAATTTCATGTGACACTACAGACTGGAGTAATGCTGCTGAAAATTCAGCTTTGCCATCACAGAAATAAATTACATTGTAAAATGTAGTAAAATAGAATTATTTAAATTGTAATAATATTTCACAATATTACTGTTTTTACAATCTTGCAATCTTCAAAAACATTTTACTTATCCCAAATTATTAAACAAGTAACGTAATAGTAGTAATGTAATAATGACAGCAGATCATTTTCATCTTAAACCAAGCCATTAATTGGTTTTATTTCAATACCATTATCTTATGTCTCCAGCAATGCCTAACATTTCGATAAAGGAAGATTCAAAGGCAAAGATTTCAGTCAGCTAAGTAGTGTCTGACACAATCAGCTATTCTTGCTAAAGGCACTTTTTGATTCACAACCAAAAATGGTACATTTTAATCAACTACAACTAAAATGCCCTCACCAATACTTGAGTTAATCATTCAACAGTATTAAAAAAAAATCAAATATCCTTTTTAAAAGACATATTATGTATGTGGCTGCTAACAAATATAGAGATGTTGAGGTTATTAAAGTATATTTGCAATAGACTAATTAAATCCCACTTGACTTTCCTTGCAGCAATAACAAATGAGAGTTGAATGTGTTGGACATATCAACTTAAAAGCCCATAAGTCCATCTCAACTGAAGCATTCTGGCGAGCAACTGGTGATTCATAAGGGATAGGATCATTTTGTTTTGAAAACCCCCCACACACTCACTCAATAAAACAGAAATGGAGTTCAAGTGCTCAGATTCCCACACCGCATCATTGGCCACAAATTTTAATGATTCTAGTCAGACTCTTCAGTTTATAGGCGTGCTTTAGCTTCGTTACTCTCTATGATACCGTCAGAGAGGAGCTGTTCTATTTGCGCTTGCTCAAACCCGTACTCCTTCAGCACAGTGCGAGTGTGCTCTCCGATAAAGGGGTCACGGGAGGGGCAGGCCTCCGCAGGGGAGCGGGACAGAACGGGTGCAGGTCGGGGACTAATTTCCCCCTGAGAGTCCTTGAAGAACGATCCCCTTGCCTGGTTGTGGGGATGAGAGAGTACCTCATTCAGTGACAGCACAGGGGTGACACAGGCATCTGTCCCATCGAAGATCCGACCCCACTCTGCCTGCGTTTTGGTGGCAAACACCTGGGTGAACGTCTGCCTGAGCTGCGGCCAATCAGATACACTCATTTGTGAGGGTAGGTCAGCATCTTCCAAGCCCAAACCTGTAGTGAAAAAGAATTAATCAGATAAAAAAAAAAGAGGACAGAAATCAATAAAGGAGTTTAGAGGACAAGGACCAAAGGCATCTTAAAGGACTTTGAATCCAGAATCCATTAAACACAACACTGGTCTCTTCTTTTTGAGGGTCAACATGAATAACAAGAGTCATTGTGGTTTTAAAGCAAGATTGAGTACGCTGCATTTGCCCTTGGGTCATCAGGATGTGGGGTGAATCACTATGCACATTATAATAAAGCATCCTTTGGCTTTGTATGTCTGGATCAAAATTGACAACCATGTAGACCAATGTCACCCTGGGAATCCTGTGGTTAAACATATCAATTGTACCTAGACATCATTCAGGCTACAGATTTATTTCAGGTGAATTGAAAGCAGCTAAATGTATACTAAATGTTAAAAAAAGAAACAAGAAAGAAAATGATAACATGCAAAAAATTAAAAATAAGAACAGAAATACAACAAATAAGAAAATAAAAGAATATATACAAATGAAAACATTTATAAAAATGCATAAAATGCACTAGAGATCTAGAGAGATAATAGAAATATAAGACCATAAAATGCAAAAACAACTGAATATTTCTAATTGAAAATAAAACAAAATGCAAAAACAAGAATTAAATGAAAAGAGAATAAATAACATTGAAAAGAATATACAATAAAATCTAAAATAATAATAATTTATAAAAATAAAAATACTTAATAAAAAAGTACAATAACTAATAATAAAAATAAATGAAATCCTGAACTACTGCCTGTAGAAAATATCTTATTAGATCTATTTGCATATACATTTACTATGAACATAGTGTGCAGTTCCTTTGCAAATTTTTTGTGCTCCAGCCGCTGAAGTTGCCAGGTGCATGTCAGATAGCATGAATTAAACACCACATGGCACAATATCCAGTAAGTTGTCAAAAGCTCTTGTCAATAAATATGCCCGTTGCTAAAAGAGTGCTAGATTCTTTAGCAAGTTTTGCTGCCAACAGCCTTACATGGGTTAACACTAGGGTTTTTTTCAATGACCAAAACTACTAAAATTACATCACTATTCTGAATTAAGATAGCATGCATTCACATCGCATTTCAGAGCATGACATCTGTCATCAAAAAATGACAATCTAGGACCATTCTGAGAGGAAATATAATACACTAACCCAGAATAAGCTGTTCATAGAACTGAGGCTCAATCGCCCCCACTGCCACGTACTTTCCGTCAGAAGTACGGTACGTATCATAGAACGGGGCGCCACTATCCAGCATGTTTTCCCCACGAGGACGATTCCACAGGCCGAGGCTACGGGACTTCCACATGAAGGAGCCGACATATGCTGCGCCTTCCACCTAAACCCAGAGAGGTGTTTTCATAATTATTTGCCATAATTATTTCATGCTGAACAGAATGTTTGGTATTAAGCAATGAGGTTCTTGAGGAGGAAACTTTAGGCTGCATAATGCAGGAGTTGTTCATATTCATAAGGTCATGGAATTAAGTTTACATTAAATTTATACGCAAAAACCTGTGCAGATAATTACATATTTACATGCATGAATGTGATATGATACGACAGGGGAAGATTTAAGCAGCTTGGTAATACAAGCACGCCACAGCGAAACAGCCTATCATTCTATGGAGGTTTTCAGTAGTTTGAGTTCCACATTATGGCACCAGGACTCTAAAGGGGTCATATCATAAGTAATAAAATGGTATTTGATCTTTTATGCATAATAAAGCTTGAGGTACAATAAAAACAATGTAACTTTCAGATATTTCCTTCTCAATCCAAAAGAAGCATTTGCATTATTTATGTTTTAATTGTGTGACTATAGAGAATTAATCAAACACTGCTTTCAACGATTTTTAAGTAAAAATAAAAAGATTTCCTGAGGTTTTCAGTCTGATTTAAAGAGTTTGTGTAGCACATTTCAGCATTGATTTTGTGAAGCAGTCACAATGTAGTACAGTCTTCATAAAGGCTGTTATTAAAGGATGGGGCAAGTAAACATATCTGACACAACAATAAAAAAAAAAGCTGTGTGAACAATGGCAGGGAAAGCAAATCATGCTGTTAATAATTTCACATACAATAGGGACCTTTCTAAGGGGCAGCAGTAATAATAAAAAAAAACAGTTGTTTACTTCAAGAGAAATGAAAAACTAGAATATGGCTGTCTGACACAAATAATAATAAGTTAAATATGTATGATATGACCCCTTTAAAGAATTATAGCACTCAGATCTTAAAATAAATTATTTATGAGTGACAAAGTTGGCCTCCAGGCTGAACTTAAGGGGTGTGTAGCAAGACTTCTAAAAAAACAACAACAACAACAACAACATATTTACAGATGAAAAGGAGCATTTTTTATAGGTCAAATCCTCCCAATTGATGCATAATATATATATATATATATATATATATATATATATATATATATATATATATATATATATACATCCATTTCAAAGACTGTGACCTTGCAAGATTGACTTCAATATAGATATACTTCATTTATTTCCCAGAGAACCCAGCCTTCAAAGAGATGTTGACAATCTGGGTTTCTATTTGAGCATATGATTGGCCTGACCACCAAGAAGTCACACTCCCAGAAGATCACTGAAGCGTGGCCTAGTACTGAATGTTATGAACTGAACTGTTATGACTCACAAGCAATTTCTTCACACTTCTTCCTTTTAATATAGTTCAGAGATATGTTAATGTGGAATATTTAGCTCTGGTTTTGGAAAACAATAATTCAAAAACATTATTCCCTGGATGTTAATGGAAAGATTATAGTGGTCAAACACTATTTGGGATTTTGACAGACAGCGTACAGTACATAGCCTCAAACCAAATGTGGCATAACACAATTCTGAAATGCTAATAAAACACACAGGCATATTTAAATACAAAAAATAAATGTTGAAAGTGTAATATTTGCACTTTGTAGGGTATAATACATCCAAACTGGCAAGCGAGTTTCTAATAACACTAACGTGGCCAAAAGCTGCCGTCAGTATCAAACGGCAGGTCTTATCAAAGAGTGGCAAGGTGACTCTCACAGAAGCATGAGATAGCTTTACTGCCTAACAGGCAAACATCTAATCATCATTACTACAGCTCTCACACTGACATACACGGCTACCTCTTCACTAGCACTGCAGCTTTGCTCCAGGTCTGAATGTCTAATGAGAAATGTTCTTTAATATTGGATTGTCACATATTAAGCTTTATATTTGCACTGTTAATTTCCTTAAGGACTTAAAGTGGCAGAGCTCAGAATGTCTAGAGCAAATGACATACTGTAACCTCAGCTCCATTGTCTAATTAAGGTCTTCTAATGCATAAAAATGCATTCGTGTATTAAATTTGAAGTATCTTAACCCTTAAATGAGGTCTTAAGGTCAAAATTGTTAGGAGAACAGACAAGGACTTTTAAGAGGCTTAAGAGT